CCAGAGCGGAGTGTCAAGACCCGCATCCTGGGTAGCATCGCATGCCTCGTTACTAATCCACATACTAGACTCGGTGAAGGTCACGCCGATAAAGGCGGACTCGGAGGAGGCGGAAGCGACATCCACAGACACGATACCAGCAACATTGATGCCAAAGTCATATGTCACCGATGAGACGCCGTTAAAAGTGGCCTGCCCGCCAGCACCCGTCAAGGCGGCCGCATTGGTGACGGAACCGTTCACCTGGCGAACAGACGCAGGAGCCAAGTCGCGAGAGCTCGGGGCTAAGATGTACTCCTCGTAGGGCACGGCCAACGCCTCAGTGGCCAGTAAGGCCGATAGCAGCCAGGAAGACCACATTGTGAGATGATTTGGTGAGATTGGGTGTCTCTCAAGCAGGCTTTGTGCACGGCTAAATATCGGCCATCAGGCTCAGTCGGTACAATGGCAGCCGATGGGAGCAGCGATCAAAGTTATCGGTGAATCATCCTTCCGAGCAATGACGCATATCCCTGGTCTCCACTGCTACATGGTTCGGGGTGATGGACGGAAATGACGCGCGTGGGGACGAGGCAATCGTGCTGTTGGCTGGTTGGTAGATGGACTGCAGTGCATGACTTGGCAGACATCGGCATGGGGGCAGTGGATCGGGAGACTGAAAGAGATGGGTCCTGAGATGAAAAGAGGAGACAACGAGGAGAAGAAGTGGAAAGAGGAGACTCGGCAAGAGAGACGGGAGACAGCCGGAAATGCCGAGCCTCGCCTGATGGTGTCTACAGGGTCTGTTCGCTGCATTCCCCACGGGGGTCGGGTTAGCCCGTCGCTGAAGATCCACAACACCCGAGGTGTGCCGCGCGGTATTATGCAGAGAAGAACCTACAAGTTCGCGTACGTTAAAACCAGACCAAATAAATTCAGCACGCGCAAGATATAACTTAGATACATTTTGAAGTAAATTAACGCCCCAGTTGTCCTATCCATCAGATCCATCATAGGTTTGCATGCGGATGAGTCGCAGATGCATTATCGCTGTCACTCAACACACTGCGACGCACACCCGCGGCATTCAGTGACGCCGCTCTATGAACAGGGCTGCTCCCTCGGCTGATGGGAAACAAATTCGCCTGGCTGACGGGCGTCTCAGACATTTCACGACCAGGAGCAGTGTCCCGGGCCAGATCTTGGTGACTTCGATGCAGCCCCTCGCTGGCAACAGATCCAGTGTCATCAAGCAGACTGCCTTTGTTCCACATTTCCGGAGTCCCCTCTCCCCGAGCAGTCGTACCCAGCGCATCGAGCTCTGTGATCAACTGGCTGCCCGACTTGGCAAAAGATCCTCGGTCGTCCCGCATCGGTCGATAGCGCAGGTCCGGATCCTTGGAGAAGATGGCGTATACAGAGCTGTAAAGAACAAGGAAGAGCAGAATCAGTGCAAAGGCGGCATTGTACACAAAGAAAACGACACCCATCACACCGGTCACGATGCCGGGCTGGTCGAAGACGTTGGAAAAGAAAAGCAACAGAATGGAATTCACGAAGTTGATGGATGCGATGGCAATGTTGTAGCCATTGGTCTTTTTGTCCATCCACGGGCGCACGATACTAATCCCAATAAGCGCCGAGGTCTCGATAATCACCATGGCCACTGTCTGCACAACTGGGGCCGGTTGGCTCAGACTGATGAACATCGCCTTGATGAAGATGTACAGCAGCGCGAACACGAGGAAGTAGTAGGCGGTGGCTCGGTAATGCACATATAGAAATCCCAGCTTGTTCAAACAGGCTTCGTCTGAGTAGAGGATATAGGCTGGGTTTCGATGCATTGCTACCGACCTCCGCGCGAGGATGATGACTCGGAAGGCCGCCCAGCCTAGCGTGCAGATCATGGAAACTAGCATAACCACCGCCAGGACAACTTCGGCTGCCGAATCATGCTGCGTAAATTCCCACAGACAGAGAACACACATTTGCGGAAATCCGATGAAAATGAGTCGGTAAAGGATTCCCTTGGACACATGAAAATCTCCAAACTTGTCGGTCTTGGTCTTTCCCTTCTTCGCCAGGAAGCGGCTTCCCACCTTGAGCAAGCCGACGATGATCATCACCACCGCGACGAAAAAGACAAAGAAGATAAAGCCGTTGAGGAAGATGTTGGTGCCCTCAATGCCGGCCCTGAATCCCACGCGATCGATACCCCGCACCTCTGTGGTACCGGTAGTGGCGGTCTCCGACTGGGCGTATTGTCTTTTGAACACATTGGTAACGCTGTCCAAAGATCGCTTTTTGAGAACTTCAACAGACGTAGTCGAGAGCTCCGACAAAACAGTCGACGGCGTACCACCGGTTGCCCTTTGGTACCAGGTGCAAATGGTATCCAAGAACTTAACGTGGATGATGCCCATGCTCCATTGCATGTTCTGGGTCCATGCTTCCACGATCGGCGGCATGTGGACCGAAATCATCCCAAACATGGCCTGCGATTGCATGAAGCTGAAAAAGGCCAGCACGTTAGCGGCGACATGGGCCGCAGTGTTCGAGTTGCCTAGACCAGCTGCGACAGCTGAAGCGATAAGCCCGACGCCGGAGATCACCGCTGTCGTCCATCCGACTCCTTTCTGGTAGACTGTTTTTCCATTCGACAAGGTCGCTTCGAGACATGTAATACTAGTGCCGGTATCTGTGGAATTGATGTAAACCCGAACGGTGGCATCAAGGTCTGGCACAGTGTATGCGATACCTGGAAGGTTGTTAACATTAGACGATCAATCAATGCGCGGGATACTACAGACCCGGAATCCGGCGCACCACATCTTCCGGAATCTGGATTGGGGTGTTCTGAACGTTGATGGCACCCGCGCTCATCGGACAGAGACCCTCTATATTCATTTTACATGGATCCAACGTCTCACCAGTCAACTGGTAGCCATAGACGTCGACGGAAAGATCGGCAGTGACTTTGCCGGAGATGGCGGCCACGCCATCGAAACTCAGAACCAAAGAACGATTCTCGGGAGTGAAGCGGACGCTGAAGTAGGTGGCAGTAAAATTGTTGCTATCTTGGCAGATATTCAGAGCATTTGATTCAATGAGTCTGGTTGCAGCGACCAGCGGTGCTGTGGACGCGAGGAGGGCGCTGGTAAGGCACGTTGACCAGCGCATTCTCACGTCTCACTTAAAGGGGAGGGGTGGGGAAGTGAAGATAAATGGGAACGAATGACGGGAACAACTAGCGATTCCGGATAACGACTGACACCAGCGTGCTATCTGACATGTCGTCAAATGGCTGGCAAAATAGGAAGATGCAGCAAAGGGTGGTCGAGAGTAGCGAAAGAGTTGACGGGAGGAAAACGAGTGTCACACGCAGGATATAAGTCTGACGGGGGACATGAAGTTGGCAGAGCGAGTGGCGCCGGAGGAAGAGGCCCGGCTTTTCTCCATCTGGTTGGCGGGCTTTGCAGGTGCCAAGCGGGTGTCAATGGATTCACACAGGTTTGCCTACAAGGGACTAGGAGGCTGTTGGTTGGGCTCAGGCTTTGGTGCTGGACCCTTTCGGGGCCGGTTCTCCCCCCAGCTAAATTTAGACCCGATCGCCATCCAACGCTGACTGAGTTCCTCCGGCGCTACCACCAAGCCTGCCACCAATCGGTTAGTTTAGGAAGAGACAATGGTGCTGATGAACCGTTACGCGATAGAGAGTTGGCGCTTTGATACTGCATCGAGCAGATGCCCCGATGCCTCTACTTTACAATTATGGAATGATTATTGCGATCTTACCAGGTACCCGTCTTTGGCCCCAAACAGGGATGATAGGGTCCATTCATTGGGCGTATTTAAGATAATGGACCGCTGATCATCCTGACAGTTAACCTAAGATAAGCATCGGGACAGGCGGAACAGATCAAATCTCCTTGCTTGAGTGTGGTAGGGCGGATGATCGTATGCTTGGTGTTTATGATATCAAAGTGTTGGAGCAATTTGGGGCAGGCTAGACGGTCTTATTACGGAAAGTTTTGTTGAGACTAGTCTTTGATGTGCAATTGAATAGTGATAAGCAGAAGAAGAGGGGGCATGCCTTGAAAGACAAAGAAATAGGATTCCGGATGGTAAACAAAAAATAAAAGTGATAAAAAAGGATGGGACGAGCCGGGCTTGAACCGGCCACCTCCAGATCTTCAGTCTGACGCGCTCCCAGATGCGCCATCGTCCCGTGGTACTTGCTACACTGCTCGCTTTAAAGTTTTATATCCTACTTGTCTTTGTGTACTTGATTTATTAAGCCATGTCTGCATTGACTTTGTACCTCTTCTCACCAACAATGTTCCTGGTACTTTGGCCCTACCCATAGTTCATACCCTTAAATGAAGCTAGAAATCGAGACGAAGTTCAACTTGAGCCCCACACGCTGGAAATTACTCCATCGCTGATCTTCAGCACTGCCCCGTTATATATCAGATGTTGCTGGTGTGAATGTAACATCAATTATCTGATCATTAGGCACCAGCAATCCCTAGCGCTTGTCAGTACGACTGAATAGTAGTAGCGACAGGGTCTAGACAGTACAGTGTTTCACCAGGCGGCTAAAGAGCCTATCTAAACAATAGCAGCACGATCAGTGTCCGATTCATCGGGCATTCCATTGGACCCTGATCATAATATATATACAATCCGTCATATGAATGAACATATAAGGCAACTGTTGCGAATGCTTTCTCATACTAATCCTCTCATACATGAATCCTAATGACCAATAACCAACCCATGTATGTCTCACTAACCCCCGTTCAAAGTCACAACATGTGAGCTCCTTCTGGCCCCATCCAAGTGGAGAAGAAAGGGGGCTCCAATTGCAAATAAGCAACAATCGCCCGTTAATCAACCCAACCCATCCACCCGCTTCACTTATACAAAGTACTGACGTGAAGCTGACACAAAGAAAGAAATTTCAAAACAGACTAAATACCACACAGCCACTCGCATTCACTTCCAGATTTGTTGGCATGATTTGTTGTTGTTTTTGTATCCCCGAACTGCGGGGTAACATGGCCAGATCACAGATTGAGTGAGCCTTGCGTACACCTTAACCTTACACTTCTATCTCCAGTGTAGAGCTTTCACTCCATCTCCCGAACATCATCTATATCCCACCACCACCACTACATCTCAATCACCACCAAGTAGCACCATGCCCAAAGCTCCCCTCCTCAAGGGGCTCCTCCTCGCCATCGGGGAAATCCCCTTAGACAGCATCCACCCCGACCCCAACATCAGCTGCACCAAGAAAGACCTGAAAACAATCACATCCTATAACCTCCTCCCCAAGAAGGAAAAGAGCATGGTAGTTCCAGGTAGACCTCACTCTCCCCACCCTCAATCTATCTTTACCCTCATCCCCAACATCACCCAAACCACCACCAATACTGAATAAAACCAAAGGAACCCCCTCCATCTACAAACCCCCCACCACCCCCATGCACATCCCCCCCGACGCAGGAAAATACATCCTAGACCCCAACAGCCTCATCTTCCCCAACTGCACCATGGAACCCCTCCTCCGCGCCATCTCCATCACCACCACCACTACCGGCAAACCCAAAGTGAACCTCACCACAACCGACCTAATAACCGACCGACGCAACCTCCGCCTCCTCCTCAGCTTCGTCAGCTCGAGCAAAAAGCCCTTCCGAATCGACGTGGAAGTAATCCACTCCACCGTCCTCCTCTCCCTCTGGACAAGCAGCAAGACGAACTTCGTCGGCCAATTCCAGGGGTACGGCCACTCCTTCGAAAAAGCCTCGACCTGGAACCCCCGCTACATTCGCGGAAGCATCATCCATAACCGAGCGGTGCGGTATACCCTCGGCGGGATACATATCTTACTGAGGTATGAAGTGGATGCATGTATGCCTGGAAAACCACCACACACTTCCACCAATAGTACCAATGCAACTACCAATCACCACTCCCCCACCGGAATCAAAGTAATAAACTCAGGAACACTAGTCCACCCCCACCGAATCATCGAGATCAAAACCGGGCCAGTGAGTAAACGACTCGACAACTCGAAGAATCTCGAGCAGATGTGGTTCTCCCACACCCCGATTCTATGTACGGGGCAGTATCAGCCCGACGGGACGTTTCTGCCGGCAAGGGCGCAGAATATGGAGAAGGAGGGACGGCTGGAGCAGTGGGAGAGGGATAATGAGGAGAAGATACGGAAGTTGGTGAGGGTGTTGGAGATGGTTTTTGAGGTGGTGAGGGGCGTGCCGCATAGGTGTGCGTTGGTGCATGATGGGGATGGCGTGTTGAGGGTGTATCAGGTTGATGAGAATGCCAAGGGGGGGTTGGGGAGGGGGGTACCGGGGGATTTGAGGGCGTTGTGGGATGTTAATGTTAAGTAGGCCGAGGGGATTCATACTTATGAAGAGAGCCAATGAGGTTGGGGGACAAATACGGCTGGAGCTGTCACTCACTGTCAACATAACTGCGCTGATGTGTGGTGGTATATCTTGCACTGAGTTTTGATGAGACTCATCAATACTTCACCCCCGCCAGAAACAAGTGACTGGCTACAGGCTAGCTACCAAGAATCCAGAAGGAAAGGGGATGTCACTTTCACTTTTGATTAAGCAGCCTGGACTCGTGCAACGGTCCTTGAAAAAGCCAAGGATATGGCTTGGATACCATTGGAGAAGAAAACTGGCTGGTGGATAATGGCAGGCCAAGGCAACTGAAGAACCTTCAGTTTCCTTCGTCTCTCATTTCTCTTGATGGTCGTTCTACTACATACTACATAGATCTGAAGATATTTCCATCTACAGTACGACAAGGCATTATAATCATCATGTCTAGATCAATATTATGGATATCATACAAATCTCTATCCCGAGCCCGCTAACTTTTGCCATAACCAACCATCCCAGAAGAAATAAAAACGCCTACAACAATGAGCGAAGAACCCCGGTCTGCTCCAGCACAGCCCGGCGGCTGGTGCCACCAACGGCATCCTTCAGTTCAACAGCACGCTCGTAGTCCAAGCAGGCCTGGACGCCCTCGTCGAAGCGGGCATCCACGGTCTGCAGCTGCTCCAGGGACAGGGTGTCCATGGGCACGTTGTGCTTCTCGGCCAGTGCAACGACACGGCCAGAGATGTGGTGACCCTCGCGGAAGGGCACGCCCTTGCGGACGAGGTAGTCGGCAATCTCGGTGGCCAGCATCTCCGGCGCCAGCGCGGCGGTCATCTTCTCGGGAATAGTAGTGAGGGTGGAGAGGACGCCGGTGGCGATCTGAATGCTGTCTCCGACAGTCTTGATGTGGTCGAGCAGGGGCTCGACACTCTCCTGCAGATCCTTGTTGTATGTAGTAGGGAGACCCTTGATGGTGCACATCAGACCGGCCATCTGGCCAAAGGCACGACCGGCCTTACCACGCAGAAGCTCCAGGCTGTCTTTGAGAAAGTCAGTATAAGTCTGCATGTGATAGTAATCGGTGGCACTGACCTGCGTTCTTCTTCTGAGGCATCAACGACGAGCCGGTCGAGTAAGCATCGGACAACCGGACAAAGCCAAACTCCAAGCTGCTGTAGATGATCAGATCCTCCGCCCAGCGGGAGATCTTGAGCATGAAGGAGCTGCCCCATTGCATGGTCTCCATAGCGAAGTCACGGTCGGCCACAGCGTTCATCGAGTTGTAGAGCAGACCATCAAAGCCAAGCTCCTTGGCCATGGCCTCACGGTCAATCTGGAAAGGGTTTCCGGCAAGGGCACCAGTGCCCAAGGGACTGCGGTTGACGCGCTTGATGACCTCCCGCAGACGCTGGAGTTCGCTGGCAAAGGCGGTCGCGTGCGACAGGAGCCAGTGGCTCCAGCGGACCGGCTGGGCCTTCTGCAAGTGGGTGTAACCAGGCATGATGTAGTCGAGTTCAGACTCCGCACGGGCAATGGAGACCTTGACGAGATCGCACAGGAAGCTCTCCAGCTTGCGCAATTCATCCCGCAGCCACAAGCGCATGTCCGTGGCAATCTGCTCGTTACGGGACCGGCCGGTGTGCAGCTTGCCTCCAATTTCCTTGCCGATGATCTCAGACAAACGGCGCTCGTTGGCAGTGTGAATGTCCTCGTCGTTCTCCTTGGCGACGAAGGTGTTGGTGCTCCATTCCTCGGCGATCTGCTTGAAGCCGCGCTCGATTTCAGCGAACTCGTGTGCGGTCAGGATGCCGTTCTTGTGGTTGGCCCGGGCGAAGGCAATGGAGCCAGCAATGTCCTGCTTCCAGAAGATGCGGTCATAAGGCAGGGACATGTTGTACTGCACCATCAGGGGGTCGAGGCCCTCTGCAGCCGGAAGTGAACATTAGCCGCCGTCCCAATGGGAGGCATTGAGGGGTAATCAGTGTACTTACGGGTGAAACGACCTCCCCAGAGCATGTTTTCAGCGACAGCCTTGTTACCGCTCATTTTGAAGTGTGTGTAGTGAAGAATGGATGGTGGGAAGAGAAGAAAAGAAGAATTGACGATGTTGATAAAGGACAGCGATGGGACTGGCTGGCTGAATTAGGCAAGTCTGAATCACACCTGGTTGGGACTGTGACTCCCCGCCCAGCGACATCGGGGACGCTAGGCTGCTTCCAGATAAGCGCCGGGGGCCAATCAGCGCTTTTCATGACTCATCGCTGAGGGCTTCCCCAGTCACTAGACTAGAGACACGTGATCACCCCGCGCACAGTCAGAATACATCAAGATATCCAGGTCTACAGCAACGATTCAGATTAGAGAAAAGGAAGACTCGTATCACTCATGGAATTGTAACATGTCATCTACATATGCATATATACAAGTAGATAGCGTCTACGTTGGCAACCACCTAGTCGATCGCCGTGAAGTAGCGCTTGAAGCGGTCGGACCGAGTCAAACGCAACTCCACAATGACCCAGTGGCAGCTCATGAGAAGACTGGGGAATCGCACAGTCCAAAAATTTAGATACCCTTCCGGTAAGCCGCCAATGTGTGCTTTGAGATGCTCCGGCATATCGTTGTAATGGTTGCGCTTGTTCCGGAGGGCTCGCAGCAAATCTAGCATCTTCGATCCCGTGTATTTGCGCTGCTTGCCGAGATTGTCCTTGAAGTCCCGTGGCAGTAGTCGCAGGAAATCCATGTCCGGGCCCATCACTCGTGGAGCGACCGACTCGAGACACAGAAGAGCGTCCGAAGGAGGATCCCGCGGTTCGAATTCAAAGTGATCCGAGACATCGCAGAGGAAGCTGAGACGGTCAGATGGAGGCCAAAAGAACGGGTGCGTCAACACGGCGCTCGCATCGGGGCTAAAAAAGTTAGTACTAAGCATGGCATGTACTGAGAATCGACTTACCGTCGTCGAGGATCGAGCGACAACATGGACTGGATCAGATCTTCAGCCTCGTAGGCATAATCGCCTAGGCGCTGCAGCTCATCAAGGTTGTAGTTGCCCTTGACAATGTTGGCCTCACGCATAAACTTGCCGTTCTTGTCAAACGGATGACAGCCCCGCGTCAGAACGTAATAGAAGACACAGCCCAAAGAGAAAATGTCGATAGCTCGAGTAGCCCGCCGATTGGTTTGAGGGTCCACCACAGCTGGTTCTGAAGATTCGGTGTGTTGGGACTCGCTTCCCTGCATAGCCGGGCTCATGTCGTCGTCTACCAGCAATTCAGGGGCTCGCCAGCCCGAGGTACCTGCGGCATGTGCCGTAGTCGCGCGGAAGGAGCTTTGGTTGTCCTCGAGCTTCTTACACAAGCCGAAATCCGAAATCAGCAACCGCAGGGAGCGTGAGCCAGTACGTCCGCGAGGCATGGCCACCAGGATATTCTGTGGCTTCAGATCGCGGTGCACGATTTTGAGGGAATGGAGATAGCGAACACCTGCCACAATTTGGCGCAGAACGTCAGGCAAATCCAAGCCGCCCTGGACTAATTGCGGGAAATCCGATGGACGTTCAACCACATCCTGCAAAGAGGCCGGGCACAGCTCCAGAGCAATGTAGAGGAAACCAGCAGCCTGCTCTCGGCAGTAGTACCGGATCACATTGCCATGGTCATCACTTTCTTGCAACAGGCCAACTTCATGGGATGCGATATCATAGAATTCTACCAGCATGCGCTTGACAGCCACATCGCGTCCATCGAACGAGCCTCGATACACCACGGTCCCGTGGCTTCCGTGTCCCAAGACCACGTCAGTGTACACCCTGAGACGGCCGATCTGAAGAACCCCATCCATTTCCATGATCTCATGCGACACCGTCCGGGTCAGCTGTACATCGGGTTCCAAGCGAGACTGAGGTTGGAGCTTATTCACTTCCTCAACAACACGATCGGCGGGATCTCTCGATTCACTGTCGCTATTCGGCTTCTTACCCCGCCTATGATTCTTGCCACCACGACGACCGCGGCGAGCCTTCTTCTTAGGCTTTTCGCCGTCTTGTAAATTGAGCTCGTCCACATCGTCATCGCCATCTGGGCCTTGGGACGGTTCCCGGATGCGTACGCGTGGAGTTGTGTCGGGCGCAAGAGAGTTTTGGGATTTCTTGGGCCTTGGTGTCGAATCACCACCCTGCGGCTGCTCATCTGAAACATTCATATCGACAGTCAGATTCGCCATGCGGTTAGGGCTGGCCTCGCGTTTCAAATGAGGGCCTTCCACGATTGGGGTCGGCGGGGTAGACATGGGCGGCTGTCCGTACGAGGCCATGATATTTTTCAGATCCAACTTCTGTTTGGCGAGTTCCTGAATGTGATGAGAATTGAACCAGATGAAGGTGCCGAAAAAGAGAAGCAAGAGCGTCACGAAAATATCAATGGCATTATCCCAGCCCTTCCGTATGATGGTGCTATGGCGCAGAGCAGGAGGCAGTGCCAGATCGGACGAGCTATAGATCAACTCCCGAGGCGTATCGTTGGACATATCGGCTGACGAGGGGCCAGAAATGCTGGGAATGTGACGGCGGACAACGCGTGGGCCGTTCAGAGAATGAACGCCTGCTAGTGCATCTTGTTGCTGCCTTGGGGTCAAGCTCGTCAGGGGTTGACCGTGGCGGAGGTAGTCTTTTTCGTAGCATTGGGCCATCTTGGCTCTTCCGGTGACAAGCGGGTAGGTCGCCTCCGACATGGCATACCAGCCACCGCCCTCAGTATAATCAATGAACACTCGTTCGTCACGATCGTCAAGCGTACCGTAGTCGGGGTCAGGGGGCTGCAGAGGCTGCGAGAGTAGAATAAGCGGAGTAGGGTCATTGGATGAGTCGGCGCTGACTGGACGAGCAACATCGAAGACGCGGACTACCGGACTCGAGAATCGCTGGGTGTATCGTGGCCGGTCCATCCGGGAATGATCGAAGCCGAGGACCACACCGTCATGCATGCTGTAAATATGGCTTTGGTCCATTGTGCGGAGATACTGGCTCTGGAGGTCCATATCCCGGTTGTTAGCCGTCCACTCCGAGTACTTGAGAGTGCAGATCGGATCACCGGTTTCGGTGTTCTGGATGGCCACCGTGTATTCGACACGACCAAGTACTAGAGTACCTGAGGGAGATTCACATTCCTCCATATCCACATCCAGACCATCGACCTTACGACATTCCTGACCTGACGAGATTGGGCCTCTAGAGCTAAAGACTCGTATGATGTTTCCGGTGCGAGCATCAATGGTATAAAGGGTCGTTTCCTTCCGTGCCGTATAAGTAACAGCCGGGTCGGTCCCCGAGTAAGGCGTTTCGTCAACAAGTTCCTTCACAGTCAATCCCAATTTCTGGAGGCCGGCCTCCGGCCCCGAGCTGTAGATGTAGAGACTTCCGCCCTGACTCGGCTCGACGATCCAGATAAAATCGTCCTCGGGTTGGGCACGGTCGAAGCTAGAGCGGTTGGCTCGGTGATAGAGACTTTCGACCATAGGGCTGCTCGGGACCTCGAGGGCCCAACGAGCGGCACCGGTCTTGCGGTCGCGTGCGTGAATGGAACCGTCGACGGTCGCCAGCAGGACAAAGTCCTCAACCTCCCAGTCCTGCAGGGACCGCGCGTGAAGCTGCGGAGCCAGGCCAGCGGAAGAGCTGCTGGCCTGGGCAGGAGGGGCTCGAACGGCGCGGCCAGAGCCGGCCAGAGCCAGGGTTGCTAGGGCGCTCGCATCGTTGGATTTCACGTCGAAAGAGGGGGGAGCATCAACGCCGGAGGTGAAACCGGTCGGTCGGAGGGGGACGGAAACGGTGGAGGAGAGCTCATGGTGAGGTTCATGCCACTGCTGCGGAGCAACAAGAACGGGGAGCAGGAGGAGTGCGACACTGGCAGGAAGGGTCGACCGGGCGCCAGGCAGCCGCCACCGCATGCTGAGGGACTCCAATACAGTGGGCCAGATGGAGAGAGAAACTGGAAAGTGAGGGATCCGATGGCACGGGGGGTGTCATCAGTTGGAAGGATCCGCGTGGGAGGAGCTGAAGCAGCAGGAAGAAGAATGGAGAGCAAAAGGGCGATTGAGAGGCAGCATTGAACGGATGAATAGGATGGAATAGAATGGATGAATTGGATTGGATTGGGGGCATCGAGGGGAGGCTGTGCGCACGTGACGTGAGCTGACGCGTTTGCGACTTTTGCATCGGGACGGGGATGGATTCCCGACACGGCTAGTCAATATACAAGTAAGACAGGGGTATCCCTTTACTTTCCTTGTTCACAGTGAACACTTGAACTGTATTTTATAAATAATAATATATCTCGAACAATAAAGTATTCACCCATATTGCAATCACATTCTACTACTCTACTTCCCTCGCTGATCGCTGTCTTTTCTTCCCTGGTAGTGTAGCGATCTCTGTTCTTCCCGTCGCGGCCGATATCCACTCTACCCGCCCCATACTATTCTCCTGCGCGGGCCGAGATGGACCCAAATATAGCCAGTTCACACTTCACTCTGCAGCAGACAATGTGACTTGTTCTGACCTTGCCGTGCATATGCCAGCAGAGATCTTGCTAAATAAGGAATGACAGCACTTAGTTGCGTAAGGCAGGGGAGAAAGAGTACATCACAGAAGTGAATGAATGATTCATTATCTCAAGGATACTTACTCTGTACTATCAAGGGTGTTAGTTATCAAGGGTGCGATTGTGACTAAAGGGTCTCACCACACCGACAAACGATGGTGTTATCGCCACGGCCTGACTTGAACTCCAACCACCACCCATATTAACCCACTAACTAGTTATTGTGTTATGCAAGGCTCAGTCACTGAGGTACTTAGGGTTGATCTTCACACAAAGAAGGGCAATATCTCGCGTAAGATGCACGGACGAGGTATGAGGGCAGTAACCCTGTCATGTAAGCATCCCTCGATAGCCCTTTGCTTGGCATGAGTATTAGTGTGCTGGGCTATAATGAGAGTTTCCCAGTGAAGGAGGGGGCTGAAATGGTAACATTGACCGTGTCCTGCTGACGGAAGACAGGCTCTCTCAAAATCCCCGCCAGGTCAAAATTCACACTGCAGTAATACACTGTCTTACTAACATGTGACAGGGAACAAGTTACTAATAACTAACCCTGACAGCTGATCTTGCTGATCCCGTATTCTCCTTCCGAGTCCTTCGAGAATGCTGCTAATGGACCATACCCACCCAACTAGCCAAATACTAAAGTTTGCGGGGATAAAAGCCGAAATGCGGAGAGATGTACTGCACTGCACAGCGACCCATGGATGGAATTAACTTGACTGCTGCATCCAGCCGAGGAACCACATTCCTCTGGTGCAGTACGGATGCAGACAAAGTAGAGGGGAAGTCCAATAGCGATTCCGGCATTCCACATGCGCTGCATTCCGCTTGCTACCTTGCTTTACCTACGTATATCAACTATCTATCTTATATCTGACAGTAGTCTATCTCCATCACCTTTATCTACTCTTTACACCGTTTCCCCTCACCACATATCTAGAATATACATTGAAACAACCAAAATGCCCCCCTTCCCCCCACCCCCGACCCCCTCCATCGACTGGACCAACATCGGCTTCAAAGTGCGCGACGGTATATCCTATCCCATCCATCCCATCCCATCTACCCCCATCAACCCACTAATCAAACCTGACTGAATACCAGTAAACTACCACATCGAATCCACCTACGACTCCCAAACCCAAACCTGGTCACCCCCCCAACTAATCAAATCCCCCTACCTCTCCATCCACGGACTCTCCCCAGCACTAAACTACGGCCAACAAGCCTACGAAGGCCTAAAAGCCTTTCGCCATGCCACCACCACCACCACCTCCTCCTCCTCCAACAACAACAACAACAACAACAACAACAAAATAACCATCTTCCGCCCAACCCTCAACGCCTCCCGCCTCTCCCACTCCTCCACCCTCCTCTCGATCCCCCCAATCCCCACCCCCATCTTCCTCTCCGCCGTGAACCTCGCGGTAGCCACCAACGCCGAATACGTGCCCCCCTACACCAACCCAGCCCTCACAGGAGGGGGCCTCTCGGCGCTCTACATCCGGCCTCTCGTGTTCGGCTCATCACCCCAAATCTCCCTCACGCCGCCCGAGACCTTCACATTCGCAGTGTACGTCACACCGACAGGCCTATACCACGGGATCTCCGCGGTGGACGCGCTCATCCTGGAGGAATACGATCGCACGGCGCCAAAGGGCACAGGGAGTGCTAAAGCCGGGGGGAACTATGCGCCCGTCCAGAGACATAGTATGGCGGCGTCTAAGGAGGGGTATGGGATTACGTTGCATTTGGATAGTAAGACGCGGAGCGAGGTGGATGAGTTTTCGACGAGTGCGTTTATCGGGGTGAAATATGGTGGGGATGGGGATGATGAAGGGAATGGTGTGACGCTGGTGCAGCCGGATAGTGACAATGTGATTGACTCTGTGACTGCGGCGTCGGTGTTGGAGATCGGGGAGAAGATGCTTGGGTATCAGGTGGAGAAGAGAAGTGTCAAGTATGAGGAGATACGGGAGTTTGATGAGGTGATTGCGGCGGGGACGGCGGCTGGGTTGGTTCCTGTGAGGAGTATTACGATGAAGAGTCGGGGAGAGAGGTGGGGGTTTGAGTGTGGGGATGGTGGTGGTGGTGGGAAGGGGGAAGGGGGGCCGGTGTGTAGGAGGTTGTTGGGGTTGTTGCAGGGGATTCAGACGGGGGAGGTGGACGATGTGTTTGGGTGGAATTGGGAGGTTAAAGAAGTGGAGGGGATGATGGGGAGGGAGAATGAGGGTGTGGGGGAGGGGGAGGAGAATGGGGTGAATGTGCCTTAAGTTGATCTTGAGTCTGGTTGTTACTACTAGTGCTGCTATCTTGTTCATTGTTCATTGGAACTAAGCAATACATACATAACTGCACGCCAGATGCTGCTGCTAGGTGCACACGTCCAAATATCACTGAGATAAAGTATTCTCGCTATATCAGATAGAAAGCCGAAATGCCAACACAGTGCGCTTGACAATAATGTTGATGATGATGATGATGATGATGATACAACCACCCGGAAGAAACAAATGTTAAAGTAGAAGTCGAATAGAAAGATATGTTTAATCGCTGTCGCTGTCGCTGCTGCTACTCTCGCTCTCGCTTTCACTATCGCTGTCATCGTCAGACGGCGGCGAGTACACACTTCGCTTCTGTGGCAGCGAGTTTGCCGCGCGTTTCGGCTGCGTTTTCGCTTCCAGCTCCTTCTTCTGGTTCTGGATCAATGATTTTAGTGTCGTGCGCGTCGTGCGCGTCGCGCTTGAAGGACGTGCCCATGTCTGCGACGGAGCTGGTTGCGAGGCTGGAACTTGGGTGGGTGTTGCGGTGTTGCCTTTCACTGGTGAAGAGGCTGTTTGACGGATCGCAGGCTTCTTCTCTTCTTCTTCTTCCTCCTCGGACTCCGACTCCGACTCCGATTCCGATTCGGACTCCTCGGACTCCTCTGAATCAGACGACAGCTCGATTGGTGCCTGCGGGGACGGCTTAGAAGTCTTCTCGGGCGATTTTACCGTACTTGCACGGGCTGGTGTTCCGTCTGGTTTGGAAGAGCCGGCTCTGTGAACCGTTCTGCTCATAGGCGGCAGGTCCAGGTTATCTGAAACAAGAGAGCTCTGAGGCTCGCTGGCAATCCTCGGGGAAGCGTCCACCTTGCTAGCTGACCTGGTCCGCATTTGCATAGGAGAAGTCTTCTGAGGCTGAGCACGGCTTGCCGAAGCTGGAGATGTGGTGCCATTCGCAGCTTTCGTGTCATGCGGCGCCGGCAATTTGGCGGCATCAGCGGGCTGAGAGCTAGGTGTCGTAGACTGCTGTTTCTTCTGCGGTGTAGCAGAAGCTGGTTTTAATTTCTGCGCAGCTTCAAGCTTGTCGACCTCTTTCTGAAGCGAGTCGAACTTCCGCTGAGCTACCGTTTTCGTCTTCTGGTGCTTTTCGGCCTTCTTGAGAGCTGTCCATGCATCCGACAGTTCCTGTAGCTTGCGAATATACGCAGCACCGGCTTTCTGCTCGCGCGCGGCCTGGAGTTTAGCCTGCAACCCCTCTTCGTATTGCTTATCCTGCTCGATTTTCCGGTTTGCTTCTTCCAAGAGCTGGTCCAGCCGCTCTTTGGGCACCGAAGCAGGGAAGACCATAGAGCTTGGATCGGGCGTCCTCCGGCTGGCGTCTGAACCCTTGGCGTGAGCTTTCGGGGTACTCTGAGGGTTCGACTTTGGCACTGGTTGAGACCCAGCAAATACTACCTCGTCGGATTCGGCGAACGATACTGATCGGCGCTCGGATGGTCGTTCAGCTGGGGAACTCTTGCGCAAGGCCGAGTGCAGGTTTTTGACTTTGTCAAGGGGAGCCTGGGCCTTCGACGGCGTCGAGTATGGAGCAAGCGATACTGAGCCACGGCGAATAGTAGGGGCGCTGCTGGGGATCTCCGGGGTACCATTAGAGGCCAAAAAGTTGGGCTGGGGGATGGCCGAGTCCTGGGTTAAACAGCGTGTAAGTCGGTTGTTAGGAGGGCTTTTTGTGATTCCCAAGCCTAGACCATGGTTTGGGGGCGCGGATGGGGCACGCATTAAAAAGCTTCGGCGGGGGCTAAATCCAATTGATGGGGTTCGCGCGCGCTTGCTCGGAGTATACGGACTCACCTCAACTGTCACCGTGCCGTGCTTGTTGCCCTTGGGGGTATCATGTGTGCTTCCTGGCTCAGAAAGGCGGGGCTCCTTGCTCGGTTCGAAGTCGTCCTGGCTCAATTTCCTCTTGCGCGAGCTGGACTGCGGCTGTTCCTGCGTAGAACCCACCGTATCGTGCATATCGACATCGCCGTTCTGGAGCTTGTTCTTCTGAGCAGATGGGGGAGCCAAGTTCTCGTCATTTTCGTCTCCTGTCTCATCTTCACTCTCACTCTCGCTCTCGCTCTCGCTCTCACTGTCAACATTAACGACCGGGGCTGGCGGCTGGGTTTCAGGTATCTGTCGACGTTGGAGTGGTTTCCGAGTACTCAACGGCGACAGAGATCCATCAATACTTTCCATTTCATGCGAGCCATTAGCTTGCCCTTCCGTTGTCTCCTTCGCCTGCTGTTTCGCAGAACCTTGCGAGGAACTGTGTCTAGATGCAGGGCGCTCTTCAGGCGTCGGGGTATGCGACGGGGAATCCCCTAACTCCTGGCTCTGCATACGCTTATGCAAAGGTGTAGCTGCAATACTGCTGCCAATCTGGTTCTGAGAATCCTCTTCATGCAGTACCGACTTCTTCTCCCAAGGCGCAGGCGAGCCTGGAACCTCATCCTTTTCGACAGACGAAACGGGGATTTCTGACCGACGGTTCTCATAGGGACTCCACGCAGACGACCGTGCACTAGCAGAGCCAGCATTTGAATACTCATTACCCTCCTCTTCATGGATGGTCGGTATCTGATCCATCGCTTTCTTAACAGCCTCCTTCTTGACCTGGATCTGGCGCTCAAAGTTCTGCGCAGCGGCATCCCAGTCCTGAGTGACGGAGGGGAACCGCACAGGGGCATATTGACCAGGCTTCTGTATCACACGAACGGTACCGCGCTGGTCGGACATATCTTGGCGTGCTCTACCGTTATCGACAAACACTTCCGCGACAGTCATATCGGCATCGAGGTCATCAGATTCATGATCGTCGTCGAGGAGTTTCTTAATGTCCAGAGGTCTAACATGACGCGATTTAGCCAATCCGTCTGTAGTACACGTAACTCATCCCAAGCACGACAGAGTAGACAAGCCAGAGAGTCATGCACTTACTCCGCATTAGGTCTCAACTTCCTCCACTTATCCTGAATCAACCCAGCAAGTCCGCCCAGCGTAATCTCCTCGGGTTTCTCAAGCACAAGCAGAAATGCCACGGGTTTACCACCGCCCGAGCCATTAGCACTGCGGCTGGCGTCATCGCGATCGCGATCGCGATCACCGAGGATCGAGCGGAAGGAGAAGGATGGCGTAGGCGCAACCTGCTCGCGCGGGTAGACCTTGACTCGAAGACGTAGGAAGACCATATCGGCGGAGGAAGGATAGGATGCGCGCAATCGGTGTGTGTCAAACGGTTGAAGTAGCAGCAGCAGGGGAAGCTGCAATGAGCATTATCCGTGCAGCAAGTAGAGCGTGGTGTAGTGATCAGTTATATGATAAATCGTATTTGGATGGCGGGATGGATGGGGAAGGGAGATGAAGCTGTAGAGGGAGGTCTGGAGGTGAGAAGGTGGAATTGAATGGCGGGACGGTAAGTGTCAGCGAGTAACACCGACCTTGGACCATGGGCCAGGGGATTGACAGGTGTTTTGTGGTCCCCTTCCTGCTGCTGCCAGAAGAAGTGAATCTATCGCTCTATCTGATGAATATTGTCGCCTCAACACCGCCTTATTGGCTCGCCCGCCGTGGAGCCTGCAGCGCGTCTGACCGCTTTCCAGATTAGGGCGGCGTGGCTGGTCTTAACCGGATTGGGAAATGCTATAGTTATAGGCTGTAGAGAGCAGATTGACGAGTCAATTTGGGGTCGCGTCGATTTACATTGGCGTGAAAAATTGCTATCGCTCGGTGAGACGGATTTCGTCTCATATAAAACGCAAAGCCAAAGCTAGAAGCATGTCTGTTATTCAATAGCTATCCTAAAGTCGAGTCCTCCGGCTGTGAGCTCGAGTCGCTCCAAACACCACAACTCCAATATCCCTCCAAGCCAAAAACTCCAAGACACTTCACAAATCTTAATACATGGCCGCGATGCGCAATAAGCGAAACCCAAAAGAAGACCCAAACCAGCAAATCGCAGAGAAAAGAGAAACAGCGACAGAGCCGTCTCTGCCTCAATGAAGCAGATTATGTACATAGTGAAAAGTGAAGATCTCGAATGTCGCTCAACCTCCATAGACCAGCCAGGTAATAGCACCAGCCCAGCCGCCGACAAAGAGGACGGTCAGGATAGAGGCCCCTGCACGATCTCCGGTTGTAATATCGGGCAGCTTATTAGGTGCATCCTTTGGACCGGTTCCTGCATTAGGGTTGCTTTGACTGGTACCGCCAGTGTCCGATGTCAATGGTCCCTGGGATTGGCCACCTTGGCTTTGCCGATGCGTGATCATATTTGACGAGAAAACACTTAAAGCACTCATATCAGTCTCAAGCGATGTCTCGCCATCCCACTGCGCTTGGTACCACCGGCGCCCGCACTGGGTACCGGAGTCGCCTCCCGAGCATTGCTTCGCCGCTGCCAGGGCAGATTGCTGGATCTTCGGAATAATCTGATCGCTAGTATAGGGCGCAATGGTTGTAGTAAAGGTAAGCCAGGAGGATAAGAAACCCTTGAAGCAGTCCTGATTCCGATCGCACATCATGTTAGGCTCGCAGGAAACCTCGGACATAACATTACTGCCGTACTCCTTCGGGAAGAACCTTGAGAAGGTACTTGCCAGCAGACCGTCGAGACCTTTCTTCCATTTGTCGGCGCCGTTTGTCTAGAATCAATTAGCATTGATCGAAGATAAGATCGAAGCAGAGATCCAAGGCAATGGCACTGACCAGATTGTACATGTATGCGGCGCCGCTGAGGTAGGTTCCATAATTATACGTCCATTGTATATCACCGTGATCCTTACAGTTTGCCTCTGTAGTGGTCGTGTCGGCAATGTACCAGTCTTCCGTCTGCAGCAGAGGCGTTGTTGCACTCCAGTCCCAGATCTTTTCCGCCCAGTCAGTGTATGTATCATTATTGGTGTAACGTCCCAGACGAGCGGCTAACTGAAACAGACCCCCGTTCGAGATGGCGTTCTTGGTGGTATAACCAGCCTGGTAGGGCCAAATCTGCCAACGCAGTCCACCCTGGCAGCTGGAAGTATCCCATCGGGGGACTTGAGTATTGAAGACACCTTGGGCGAGCGACAGCCACGACGGCTGACCATCTTGTTCGGGATAGTTCAGTTCTGCAGCCGTCATGGCAGCGAGGCCCCAAAAGACTTGATCATCATTACCCAGATAATTACTATCGTTGGCTGGGAAGTAGTCATTGTCGCCCTTCTGCCAGAGCATACCCTGCGTGGTGACTTCATTGTAAGAGGAGTCGCCAGTCCAATACCAATACTGAATCAATGTCATGAACATAGCACCACCTTCCCACCAGGTATCGGGCAGCTTTCCTGGTGTTTGACCCGATTCGTTGCCATGATAATAGCTCATCATGTTGAAGGCCGTTGTTCTGGCGGCATCTTTGATGGATTCTATCGTTGCGCAATGATCAGATTCTGCACCAGGGTGCATCCTGCACAAAACAGACTACTTACGTTCATCGTTAATGTCCAGCTGCAGAGCAGTCACTGTTCTCTGAAAGAAGACAAATATGGTCAGAAAGACCGCCCATATCCAGCCGGGCACAACCATCGTCAATAGACACAAATGCGAAACTTCAAGTGAAGGACGAAGAAGACCGCAGCATCAAGACGCGGATGAAGTGATGGGAAAAATCTCCGTTGACGAAGACGGAACGTGGTGAGCGGAATGCGGAAGGGAGGGGGAGGGAGTGGAATGAGGGGATCAATCACGTCCAGCCTTGCGACTGGGGATCCAAACGAGCGAAAAGAATCTAAGCAAGTGCTGACAGAGCTTGAGAGATCTTGACTAGACCAGTCAAAGCAGTTAACATGACAGACGATGGGAGAAGAAGAACGAGTGGTACAGGACCAGCTTGTAGTGGTGAGACTGCAGTGACGGCATCAGGTGGTACCGGAGTGGGAGGGTGGTAATAAAATCACGAAAGGTAGTAGCAGTGGATCGTAACCCCTTCCGCTATGAGCCATGGGGTCGTATTCCGTCCATCCCATGTTCAGGGACCCGAAGAACTACTAAATACTAGCTTAGTCCGGCGCACTGTCTGTTGGACCCTGGGAACTGGAGTTACTAAACTTTGGGGCTTTAGCTTCAGGGTCCAGCAGTTGCTTGTGGTGCCTTGGGGGGCCGCCGAACGCGCAATGGCTGGCCGCGGGGCATCCTGACTGGCCCGTTCTTGCGGGGGCGTGCCCCATCGATCGCCCCGCGGAATACTTCACTGGACGCTAACAGAATAATAATCATTATCATTGCAGGAGACAGAAGCAGCACTATATCATTATAGACAGGACAGTATATGAGTGATAAAACTATATGTAAATATTGTTAATGACAGATATTACTAAATAAGTCATGCGACCGACCACCACACCCCCTTGTCTCAAATGCACATATTCGGAGAAATAAGTAGTAACTCACAGTCAGGCTGTCCCTCCCCCACAACATTAAAAACGCTCACTAAATATAGGAAATCGCCCGTGTCAGTCTTGGCTGCTGGAAATGATCGGCCAGGAAATTTTCGGTGCGCACAACCACAACCACAACCACTTTCGATTCTGGATCCTCCACCGCTTATCATCCTTGGCGCAGATGCTGCTCTAACACAGCCATCATCGTTAAACTAACTAATTGTTTAGTTAGTAATTGACACAATGGCCGGCTGCGGCTGCAATTTTCCATGCCCTCGTACATTTGGGGCTATTTACCTACAGGATATCTATTTCGTCTAAAATAGTAGAGTACTAGTAGTTGTAGTAATTTCGACTGGTGCTGTCGTACTTCCATTTTGTTTCTGCCTACTGCTACTCGAGGGGTGCCTTGTCCCTGTATCTGAAGGAAGAGCTGGGATAAACATGAGTTCGTCATACTTGAGGGCATATGTTGTACCACATCAAATGATGGCAGGTCGGCGGCAGGAACACTCCTTTGACCCACATCGCACCAGCTCTAAACTCCCGTGTCTGTGATGATCAGAGTGCTGCAATTACTACACAGCGTAGGTTCATGGACACTCTTACGCAGCCCCCAATCGATGGTAAGCAGATCATACCTGATCATGACGTGAAGGCAGCGAGAGGCAGTACGAGTGCAATCGCCTACGTAAAAGAAAAAAGAAACATAAGCATGTTCCCAAATCATTCGTCAGATGCTTTTTTTTTCATCGAAAGGTCTATAGCATGGTAATTACGCTCCCTATAGAGCACATAGTGGATGACATCCACCTAAATCATCTCTGGCGGGTTCAAATCAAGTTCACATTATTTTCCACGCTCACATAAGATTGGATATTGGATATTTACTTGACATCTCCCTCGTCCCTTACATACGCTCACGTCTACGGGGCGCAGCCCGGATGATGTTGTCGACACGCAGGAGAAGCTGCGAGATGTTAGTTTCAATATAATCGACTTTGCTAGATGATTTCGGGGAAAGCATCTTACCTCTGCAGCCTCCGACGCGGAGGACACCACCGCCTTCTTCAGCTTGTAGCTCTCCACAACACCCAACTCGCGCATGTCAGCAATGCCACCGCCCGGGGTGAGCAGATCCAGTCCGGAGCTGGTCATGCCGTTGTTGATCGCCTGTCGTAGTCGCGTCACCAGGTCGCTGGAGTCCAGACCAGCGTTGTCCGCCAGGATGGTAGGGAGCTGCTTGAGAGCGTACGCAAACGCGTCCACGGCCAGCTGCTTCTTGCCGGTCGTGTTCTGAGCGGCCTGCTCAACGGCCTTGGACATCACCATCTCGGCACAGCCACCACCCAGGGTCACCCGGGGGTCCTTGACAGTCTGGGAGAGCACGGCCAGAGCGTCGTGGAGAGAGCGCTCGGCTTCGTCGAGCAGCTGCTCCGTGGCACCACGGAGCACAATGGTGCATGCCTGACCGGCAGCCACGCCAGAGAACTTGATGAGCGTATCCTCGCCAATGATGACCTCCTCGATAACGTCGCACTGACCCAGCTTGACCTGTTCGGGGTGGTCGAATGTCGAGGCGATCTCACCGCCAGTGACCAGGGCCAAGCGCTCAACACCATCGAAGTCGGCGTGCTCGATGGACATGATGCCAGCCTCGGTGAACAGCTGTTCGGGCCAGTTGTAGATGAGTTGACGGTTGACGAAGCAGTTGATTCCGTGGGCCTTGATCCGCTCAACCTTGGCCTTCATCTTCTCGCGCTCCGCCTTCTCGAGATCCGCCAGCTTGCCTGTCGACTCGACCTTCACCCGTGCACCAAAGATCTTCACCTTGTCTGTGTCCATGGCCGTGTTGGCGACCAGAATCTTGGCGTTCTCCAGGCGCTTGGGCTGGTTCACACCGATCTTCTTGTCGAGGATGAAACCCTCGTCGAGGTAGGAGTCGCTAAGCTTGCCACCGGCCTTCTTGATGATCTGGATGTGGCTCAGGTCGGTCGACCCACGGAGACGGAGGACAGCATCACAAGCGAGGGCAGCGAACTGATCACGGTCCTGGGCCAGGACCTTC